AGAAATTTTATCCATCATAACCTCACTATTCATAACAGAACTCTTTAACTGCTTTTAGCCTTTCACCTACTAGAGTTGGGGCACAGGTTCTTAAAAAATTGGCACGTAAACAGTGCAGAGTGCAAGGCATACAGCGGCCGTCAACCTATGAAGTACAATTTCGTTAGTTCGCATGTTATGAAACAGTAAAACAATACCGTCTATATATTTAAGGTGGAGTTGCTCTTCAGGTACGGAACCACACCCCGACACATCTTTTAAAGGTATCTCTGGAATATCAATCACAAAAGTCCGACAAGAACGGCGGAAATGAATAACCCCACCACTGATTGAGAGCCATGATGATAAGTAATTGAACGCTGTCACTCTAATTCAGCTTTTTATGAAGAGGGCTTTCAGAATCTTTTTAGAGACACCGTTCCTCATCCAAAAACACGATCCCAAAAAGCACTTCTGTCCAACAGTCCAAGATAACTTTGATATTAAGGAACACACTGGCTGCCAGTCTGATATTCTTGAATACATTCCTAATGTGTTGATATCGGACTTTACGACAACAAGGAATGCATATCTAGCATGTCTCTAGATGGAAAATAATCCATAACATTTAAGTGGAACTATATTCCGGACTTTGCCATTTTTGAGATTGAAATTTTTCCACATCAGGGGAATGATACAGTCTCCAAGCTCTCCTTCATATCCACCTCCAAAGGCTGTTTAACAAACATAAAGTAAGACGAAGTGAGTACCATGAAACATACTTTACTTTTATTTGAGGAATTTCACTACTGCCAAGTAAATATACTTGTGTCAAGGTTTCGTTAGTCACAGACCATACAGAACTCTTGCAACTTATCAGCTATGTGTAACAGTCAACTGTCTGTCTGTTTTCGACATAGAACTTTGCACAAATGTGCGGAAGTTCAAGTCGCCACATTCCGTGTAGCACGCGAAGCAAGAGAAGAAAGTACAAGAAAAGCATAATAGAAACAGTGAGCAGAGGTGTGAGACAAAGGAGTTATAACGAAGAACAAAACAGTTTCATTGAAGATCATAAGTCACAGGGAGTAGATGCATCTGCGCTTGCCACTGAGAACGATTTTGAGCCATGTCACCAATTGTTTCCAACCATAGATTTTTACCGTCCCGAGGACCCCAGCCTGGAAGTCTACACCTTTCTACGTGGCTTAGACCAACTGTTGTGGATTTCATTGACTGATGCCAAGTTTTTGTTTGACCGCCGCTAGCTTTTTTCCAGCCTGACCCTATATCCGCTAACATAGCTCGTCGAGGGAGGCGATGGCTTGGCATACGTAACACATGTCCTAACCATCTCAGTCTTTGTAGCTTCACGACTTCGTCGATTGATTTCTCCTGTTTACCTAGAACTCTACGCCTAACCTGTCTGTCTGTCTGGATTCAACATAGAACTTGGCACCGAAGTGCAGCAGTTCGAGTTGCCACGTTCCAATAGCACACAAGGTAGACAAGATGATGAGTGAAGAGAATCAATAGAGTTTGACAAATATAAGAGTGAAACAGAGTGGGTAATTGTAGAAAGGAATATGAAAGATTACAGAGACTGAATACATCTGCGCCATTGACAACGATTTTGAGCCATGTCACCTACTGTCTCCAGCCATTGATTCCTAGAGTCCCGAGGGCCCCAACCCGGGAGTCTGCATCTCCCTACCTGACTTAGTTTAACTGTCAAGGATTTCATGGATTGATGCCATGTTTTTGTTTGGCCACCACTGGCTCTTTTCCAACCTGAACCTATATCAGCTAGCAAAGCCCGTCGGGGGAGGCGGTGGTTAGGCATGCGCAGCACGTGACCTAGCCATCTTAGTCTATGTAACTTTATAGCCTCGTCGATTGATTTTCCCTCTTTGCCCAACACTCTACGCCTAACGTCAACATTACTTATCTTGTGAAACCACCTAACGTGAGACAGAGATCGCAGACATCTATGATCGAAAGCAGTCAATCTTTTCATGTCTTCAACTCGTATTGGCCATGTTTCAGAGCCATAGAGAAGGACGGAGCGAACTGATGAGCAGTACACACGTCCCTTGGTTGATAACCGGATGTCACGCCTACGCCAGAGATGGTGTAAGTCAGCAAAAGCAGCTCGAGCTTTTCGGATCCGTGCTGAGATTTCATCGCCAATCAGTCCGTTGGTGCTAATACAACTTCCCAAGTAGGTGAAGTGGTCAACATGTTCTATCACTTCACTACCTATCACTAAGTTAGGGATTGACGGGGTCCAGTCCATGTTGCTCACCTTATTATGCCACTTTACACGGGAAATAGAACGCAGGCACCTATGATCAAAGACAGCTAGTCTTTTCATGTCTTCCACTCTCAGTGGCCAGGTCTCACAACCATAAAGGAGGACGGAGCGGACTGATGAGCAGTACACCCGCCCTTTGGTCGATAGTCGAACATCTCGTCTACGCCAGAGTCGGCGTAAACTAACAAATGCGAAACGAGCCCCCTGTATTCGTGCTGAGATTTCGTCAGAGATCAGCCCGTTGGGGCTGATGGTACTTCCCAAATAAGTGAAGCGGTCAACGTGCTCTACCACTTCACTTCCTATTTTTAAACTAGGCGTCGATGTAGTCCAGTCCTGTAACATCATCTTGCATTTAGCGGGAGCGAATCGCATGCCAAACATTCGTAGATTGCGGCTCAAGGTGTTTAGAAGACTCTGCATTTCGTCAGCGTCTTCGCCTAGAAGGACTATATCGTCTGCATATTCCAAGTCAACGAGATTATTCCCCGGTAGCAAGTCAATTCCTGAGTCGCTGAAGTCACTTAGGGTTAAGTCCATTAGTACATCTATGATGAAGTTGAATAGAAAAGGGGATAATGGGCATCCTTGACGGACGCCACTAGTCGTCACCACTTCAGATGACAACTCGCCGTAAGCCCTCACCTGGCTGTATGAGTACGAATAGAGTGCCTTAATCAGTGCAATATATTTTCTTGGAATTCCCTTTACAGCCAAGCATCTCCAGAGAACTTCCCGATCGACAGAGTCGAATGCTGCCTTTAGGTCAAGAAATATAATGACTGTTGGACGCCGGTAGGAATGCTTATGTTCTAGAATCTGTCGGAGGGTGAAGATATGATCAATACACCCTCTTCCTGGTCTAAAGCCTGCCTGGCTCTCTCGTGTTTGTGCTTCCCGAGCACCACTCAGTCTACGCATGATTATTGAGCCTAAGACTTTAGATACTATATTAGTCAAGCTAATCCCTCTGTGATTATCACAGGAAGACTTGTCTCCCTTCTTGTATATGGGGATAATCAGTGACTTACACCAACCCGATGGGACTTCTTCTGATTCCCAGACGCTGCCTAGTACCTCAGTTAATCCGGACAGTAAGCTGTCTCCACCGTACTTAAATACCTCTGGCGTCATTCCATCAGGTCCCGCTGCTTTGCCTAGTTTCAGATTGGTGACAGCTTTAGTAACAGTCAACACCCTCAATTACCTGATATTTAGGACTACGGGATGCAAGACAATCCTGAAGTGATGATTTACATTTCATAAGTGAGAAAAGTACCCTGAAATTTTCAAATTGAGACTGAAACAAAGAAAACTCAGTATCTCGTCAATCGTTTTATTTGACGGGATTAAGTCGTTTGCACACAACCTTGACTATAAAAACATCTCCAAAGAGGATGATTCTTGTGATATCAAACAAAAAGAAACCGTCACAAACACTTCTATGACTCAGCTGGATACAAAACACTTGACGTAAACATACAAGTATAAACTAATAAAACGGTAGCTACTGAGCCTTATCTAGAATACAGGTAATTCAATTATTGATATAAGTATAAAACTTGGGCACTGTAGTAGAGCTCTACCACAGGTAGTTCAAATCGCGAGATTGTCATTTGAGCTTCACATATTGTAATTTACACCTATTTGTGAATAGAGACTAACTTCAGTGATAACTTGTACGGAAGTCCAAAAACTTATACCCCCAAGACTTTTCCTCTTGCTTTGTGTGGCAACTTGAACTGATGCACATCTGTGGTCAGATGAACTACACCTAGGAAACTAACACATCCTTTTAGAGTTGAACCCTGTCCTGATAATAACCTAGCGTATCAAAGTGGAATGGAACATGAAGTCGTCTTCAATGGTTCAGCATTATGTGGTTATATCACTGTCACAGATGCATAACACGTTATGAAGAAAACACAGTATAGATTTTAAATTAACAATAATGGATTTAAAACAAGACTATAAGCGAACATCACTGTTTTCAATTAGATCTTATTTAGTCTTAACACTAACGTACACAACTTCATACATAAAAATTTAACCAATGACGATGGGTTTATGTATGCAGGTGGTAATAAGAATGAAGAAGGTAGTATGTTTACGTAACCAATTCAATAAATAAGTTAGGTCAGGTCTTGTAAGTTACGCAATAGTAGAGGTGAAGTGGATAGATAATCAGTTCAAATACGCATCATAAGAGGATAAAAGAAAGGGCGGGAGGTTTTTAATTGGAATCTACCTACCCCAAGAGACAGAGTGACAAAGGTAAAACAGACTTCTTCTGTATGCAAAGATTAGGATTATTCTCTCTAGTTTCCATAGCTTTGGCTGTGTAAGACACGGATTCGAGTCCCGTTCGGAAGGTTTGATGTAATGCAGTATATAATCTTGAAGACACTTTTTCTATTCACTGGGTAACCGCTATCAACCAAATGAGACAAAATAGAACTTCTTACTGATTTTATTCGGCTTTTTCCGAAATATGAGGGAAGAAGCCTAATAGTGCATTTGTCGAGCTGTCTAGTTGCTCGCTTTGCATAGCTTTCTCAACAAGAGTAGCTGCGCTTACAAATGCACATGGAAGTAGTACAGATAGGTAGCTTATCTTACGCTTGCGTTCGGGTTTTACAAAAATACTAATTTAACAAAAGTGTCTCTTTGGGCAAGCATATGAAACGTATTAGGCTGAAACACTCACCTGCTAGTAAGCTTCGTATAGATAAAAGCAGATTTTCTACAGTTAGCAAAGGAGACCACATTTCTTTTAAAATATCTAAGCATATTACTCCACGGGTATCCACATTTGGATGGTAGCATTTAGAAACAAAGCGAACGTTTGGAGGACTGTAAGGATAATTCGGCCCGAACTCAAGTGAAAGTTTGTATTGTTGGCCTTCATACACCTGTAGTGAAGAGACGGAAATTAAAATGACAATACAGTTTGGAAGAAAAACAGTATTTACTGAAACTGAAGGAAAATGCTGCTTGAAATCCTAAACTAAAAAACAGATAAATACTTACCGTTCCATCAGGTCCACGGATAGAAGCTAACCAACGGGTGAGATTTTCCCCATCTGGGAATGCTGTAACATCTTTTTCATTGGACATCTGCAATGATTAAGTGAAGATAAACACAATTCAGCCATCACATATCTCAGAAATCATTAGAAAGCTCAATCACTTGAAAAATATTGTAACACCCCACGTGATACTTATGTGAGCAAATTCTATGGTAAGTGAACATTTCGCTTAAGATTACGGCTAACCTGAACCAATTAGATGGACTCGACTCTCAGTGTAGAAGTTTACCCAGAAACGCAGTGATTCAAGCCGCTAAACTCTATGTATAAGGGGAAAAATTCAAAAGGACTATAACAAACGAAAGTTTTCGTGTGTGACTCTACTACCATCCGTACTTTCTTGGTACTGTATCCAGTGTTCCTGCAGACAACTGCCTTTATTTTCTCTTTTGTCTGATTCTGACTGAAAACAGACAGGAAGTTCCTTCACAATTTTATCTGTCCAAGGACTAATTAACTTTTACTAACAAATGAAACCAGATCACTAAGCACTTCACCAGTTCTTTTATTACCTGTGTATCGCAATTTCTATGACGAGGAGACTTAGTAACATTTGCAAATAAGGAAAACGGATTTATTCACCTCCCAAATAAGTACACAAATCATATAACTGCATACGTGGTGCACACTATGATGATGATACAGGCAAGCAAGGATCAATGAACTACTAATGCTGAAACAGGCTACAGGACGATAAGTACTCTCTAACAACAACTCATAGTAATGCAATTTGCATCTTTCATTTAAGGTCTTCAAGAAATAAACGACGTACACAGCAAACACGAGGGTCGAAACCACTACGTTTTTTACGTTAACTGTGCGAACTGTTCAATGTGAGTACTATAATCTCACTATCCGATCATTTTCCGACCGACCTAAATGACGACACTAAGCGGAAAAGAAGCGGGGTCATAGGATACATATGGAAATGGACAGGGAGAGAACAGCATTACCAGAAATGATCGAAAGACTGATCACTGTGTCATTAGAAAGTTTGTCACTCAGGAAGAACAGGGAATTGTGGAGTAAGTTGAATCACACTATACAAGATCTAATAAAGCTCCCTGACTGTTAGATATGAATGTGTGTGTAGTCGTTTAAACTGCTTTGAACAAAAGACATAGTACTGCGTGATGCTACATCGAACCAAAACAACTGATTTAATAACTCAAGCATCAGTGTACGGTTCAACGAAAGCAAGCGATATATAACTGTGTGCTCTGACCAAAAGTGTGGATGTATTTTTACGACAAACGGAAAGAACACAATAATATTCACGAGGGGAATTATCTGTGAGCTTTTCACTATATTGTACGTTTATCTTGAGCATCTGTGTTTTAACACTATGATATGTCGTGCAGCTCGGTGAAATTGCGATAATTGGCAGACCACAAATTGTCACATCATATAAACTTACCAACAACTCCATCAATTCTTTCTGCAACCTAAATTCACGATAAATTATTAGTAACATAAAGAAGCAACAACCTCTTGCTCACTCTGTCTCCGTTCATTTTTCAAATGATCCTGAGGCGGAAAACCTCAAGGTTAACGGTAGTCATAGTTGTTAACCTGAAACTGTACTAGTTTAAAGATTGTAAGCATACCACTTTTTCATATATACTTCATTCGTTTTTAATGTGTGACTTAAAATTCACTTTCAAATATTCACTAGTCGAAAGAGAAAAGATTTGTCAATTTACGCTAAGAAAATGAATGCATCATACCCTCGGTTTCTGTTTAATCCCATGGTGTAAAATATCCACAACAAGCAACGCCATCAGCGAGTTTCCATCAATATTGGACCAATATATTGGTTCCAGTCATAATTCCTTGATTCCCGAATAAACTAACAGATGAGAAACATTTATACATAATCACGTGACTATATGTTTTACATTTGAGTTTTTATGCCAAAAAGCGGTACCTTTTGTCCCACCCCTACCTTACATGATTCGCGAAACTCTTAGTCTTGACTTTAGCTTCGAAAACGCCAGTATCCAATACTATCAGCTACCAAAATTCTAGACAATTAAAATCTTAGTGCATATTGTGGCTACCGCAAATATGATTTCGCGTAGGTTGTTTCAAAGATCTGCGGTGGCATTCTCTGTCATCAGGACATCTCGCTTATTCCTTGCTTGAACCAAACTCCTTTTCTACCACTTGCACTTTCTCCGAAATCCAAAAATTTGTCTGCAGTCCTAACACGAGAAATTACACATGTTTGACCTGGAATCATGTTCTTATCCCCAGTAGCAGCTCATCTGTCTTAGTAAAAGCTGATGGCCTATTTTACAAATAGGCACACTAATATCGAACATTCATAATTATAAATATTTGTCCTGGCCTTAATGAACGGCAACGATAGGATTCAAGGGCCTCCGGCAGAAAAACCCTATCAACACGTACGTCACTTGGTTCTGACGATGATATGGAAACTTCTGTCAAGTGTACCAAGCCTTTGTGGTGACCGGAAAATATCAAATCATACGTTCACTGCCAAACGGTATTTATAAAGAATCCACAGACAATCATGGTTTTTACGTGAGATTGAAAAAGGACATGACCCAGTTCCGCCCGTAACATTGACGAAGCTTCTTCCATCTCCGGTTTCTCGCTTATCAAATCCGCCAACGAACTCTGTTCGCACAGTGGTTAGGACTCTCGCCGACCATGCACATGGTCCGAGGTTCGAGCCCTCGCCGACGCACACCTGATATCTATGGTCGGCCTGCAAAATTTGGGTTACCGATATCCACGCTGAAAATTCCATACTTGTACCAAAAATGCAGTGTGGAATCAAGCTGTAATCAAAAATAAAAATAAAATAAATAAAAACATCCACATCAAATACTTTGCTTTAATCTATTTTCCTCTACGCAATCGCCTTCCGGCAGTCGGAGGCGCTTACATATAGTTGAGGATTTGTATACTAAAGAAAAAGACAATTTCATCCCTACCATTTTGTATGTCTATAATTAAGTATTTTGGGACTATTGTAACTCTTCAAATAACTGCATTTTGTTTGTATATTAACTTATGTGGACTGAATAACCTTCTGTATACATACATGTTAGTATTTGTTCTGTCCTTTTTATTTCGTGTATAAACGCACTTAGCCATATGGTCCACTACACATGTGGCAGCATGTGAGCATTCCAATTACTTTGACTCTTGATGGTTGTATTATATTGTTTAGATGTTTTGTATTATTCCTCAGTCTGTTGGTGAGTGTCACCGCTGTATACAAAATTAGGTAAACCACATCTTGGTTAAATTTCTTTTCCAGGTCGTCAGATAATTTTGTCAGTGATGTGTCGGGTGCCATCTCACTAAAATCTTGGTTTAAAATGCTTCCACTTATAGTGATTGGAAGCCTCACCATCAATTCAGATGATTACTCAGAGACTCTAACAGCTACCACAATCGCCTAAGGCACACTTGTCCTGCATTCCTGTTCATTTCTGGACGGTCTCAACTATGAATGTCCGACACCACAGTCCGTGTACACATTATTATGCCTGTTGTTCTGTATTCGGATCGAAGTGCTTGAATGTGGTTTCCACCACTTCTGAACTTTTAACATACTTAAATAAGTTATATATTTTTATGAATTAATTTCATTTTGATTAAATTTTGACGTCAGCAGTACGCCTACACCCCTTCTCAGGTTGACGCCCTAGGTCGGAAAATCGTCGCAGAGTTCATTTGCTGACCTCCTTCTATCCTCTATACCCTCAAAGCTGAATGGTGACACGCCCATGTCATTGTACCGTAAAATATAGATGGCTAACAAACACACAACGTGTCTGGCCAACCAGGCGTAGGTACAAGGAAATTTACACCAGCGATAATATCATTCAAATAGTAACTTGAAACTAGAAAGGCCTTTATTCGTGCAAGTCAGTTTTACAATTACACTCTCATACACAGCTGGCTTATCCTCATTAAACTGACCAATATCTTTAGTCTTTTCAAGTGCACCGATATTAACATAGTCATAGCACAAGACACATGAGTTCATGAACGTCCCTTTCATTGTGGATGACAACACCAACGACGACTGAGTGATACCAGTTGGTGAACTTCGCCGTGCATCAGAAGCTATTGCTGTTCGATCTTTAGAAGGTTGTCTAACTGCAAGGTTACCACCACTGCTATCTTTCATGATTAGCTCCTGTTTAGCACTAGCATCTGATGATAGGTGGGCTACATGCTGATCAATTACACTGATGGTCTCATGCGTATCCATACCTTTGGCAGCCGCATTTGGCTTTAATTCTACTTCACGTTCAAGTTGTACAGAACCTTTGTTCATCTCTGTAGAAGCAGGCATCCCGTTCATCTCATCGTGATCAGCCAAATGCAAATGTGCTCTATCGTGATTATTGGCAAAAGTATCCACTTTATTGCCGTTTGTATAATCGATTTCATCATTTTCAGAGTCTTTAATAACAGCTGTAGATGATTTGCGTTCTTCCCCACAAACCCTTAAAGGTTTTATACCTTCACTGTGACTAGTAATACCTTGAAAACTTGTGAAGTCAGAACTGGACTCTGAAACTGTAACTCTCTTCTTCTGCACAAACTGCGGTGTCGTCTGTGACACTCTATTCAACAATGGCTTACCAGTTCCAACTACAGGCTTCTTCATTGCACCATTATCATCACACGATCCGGAGTTAGACCTTGATGACGCTGACTTCGCATTTAGTCTACCACCAAACTTGCTCACTGCTACACAATTCGCCTTTGTATGCACTTCTTGCAGACGGACGAAACACAACCGTGTTTGTATGGATTACTGGACACCATAGAGTTTTCTCGATATCCACTTCTCTGAGACCCTTTCGTCATAGATAATTGTGTTTTGCCCTGTGATTTCTCTATTCCAGGAGTGGAATGTAGTATACTGGCAAACTTGCTCAAAGCTTGGTTGACAATGTCTTTCACCAGGCTCACAAAATCATCCAACCAGGGCTCTAAACCCTCCTCCTCTGGACGGGAGTTGATCTTTATGAACTCTCTTTGCAGACGAACTGGTAATCTCTTGGCAACAGTCTCAAGCACGGAACTTGAATTCAATTCATCTATAATAATAATAATTTGTACTTTCATATAAACATAAAGTTACGTGAAAATGCATGCCAGTTTTACAGGCACGATCATGTATGGTATAATGTCAAATCTTAAATTGTCTACAAGTTAATAATGTTTCAACAGTTAAATATTTGATACATATATATAATTACACTCATTGTCTGAACCAGGCCGTATAGTTATTGAATTGTACAGTTGTCCTCCAGGTTGAGCGGGAAAACTGACTTCGTTTCGTTTTCATCCCGTGGTTGCAGGCATACGATAACCAACCAATATCGAGGTAAGTACAACGTTTACAAGGGATTGGAAGCTGTTTTAGAAAAGTTAAAGTGCTAAGGTGAATCAATAAAGTGTAATAAATTAAGTAAGCGCAACATATCTTTAATAAATACATTTATGTAGAAAACAGAATGGGGAAGCAATTAGTCCTTAGGCCGACAACGTTCATTTGCAATGTATAATAATACCAATATACCTCGCACTATCATGATTTCCACTTTTGGATCTAATACAATTATTTTCAAGCCAGTTGTTTTTATTTCATGCCTTTTTGTCTATTTGGTTCACAACCGTACCCTACAGAGAATAGGAATAGAATAAGTCGAATCAAATTCATAAAGAGCTATAAAATGTTAGGTTTAATGGAATATAATGAGGATCAAGTTAAGACGTTATTAGAAAATAAATGCGATAAGACATTGTGAAGTGGTATTTAAAGATCTGACGATGGATAGCAAGTTAATTTATAAGATGCCCCATAAATCTGTGCAGATCCCGCTTGGTCGAATCTCAACAATAGGCTGAGCGAATGGTATATATTTAAAGGTAGAAGCATGATCTGTCAAGGCGTTCATTATTATCTTTTTCAAGATAAAGGTCTAAGCCCTCATAAAAATCAGAAATATCTCAAGCCTTCAAATTGCATATTGCTGTTCCTGCAGAATGAGGTGATTCACCTTAGTGACCACCACGCAGTTAAGAGACACAAGCGTATTTCTATATACCATTAGACAATCCAAGAACTCTACGAGTTCCTCTGAATTATCGTTTAGCTGTGATCCATTACTCTTCAGGGTCTCAAAAATACTACGGGATATCGTAAACGGTTTCCCAAAACTTTGACTTAGTATCCTCATAGCCTCTGCATATCCTTCATTTGGGAGCACAAACCCACAGCACTGTATGACTCTTGCAGAAACACCAGTGCAATACCTCAGTAACTTAGTAACATTAACTTCATTTCGTCATTTAAAACAAAACCACTCAACATGACCTCAAACTCCTTGATAAACTGTGGGTCGTCGGCTGGGTTTCCATCAAAGTATCGAGATTCTAAC